AACTTTGTAGAACTTGCAAGTTAAATTTTTCAAAGACTGTTTCTGACAAAGCAGTGGGAATTAGATTTGGTGAGGCCCTTCATAAAAAATTGAAGGCACGCTATATTAACATACATTGATTTATTCATAGTGTTTCATTACAAGTAAGTGAGGATCCTGTAATACCAGGAAAGGTTAGGAGAGCAGGGGAGCATGGTATATTATATTGACAGCTCGCTGGAAATTGAGTCGCTTTTGGATTGAATTTGGAGCTCAGAAAAGGAATTGACTAGTAAATAAGGCATGAGTTTTACCTCCCAGGGTCTTTCTACCAACCAATGTATTTGCCATCCGCCTTTGGAGGCTCAGATGGAATTTGAAAGGGGTGTGAGAACACACTTCCTCCCCTGGTGGACCGGACTTTGTTGCTACAGGCGGAACTCTCCGAGTGTCTCCCATCTCTGCTTGTTAAGAAAAACTTCAATCCTCACCCACTTGTCTCATTTCCCCAATGCTTCCTGGTCACATGGATTTTTCTCATTTGTTCGAAGCTTCCCCCAGGCCAGCCTTTACTCAGCAGTTCATTCTACCTGGAATGTTTTCACTTCTGCCCTGACTCCGTATCATCCGTGTCTATCATAGCCATGTGGTCACCTGAGATGCCCTCCTGGTCACTCTCTGCCTTAGCTGTGGGTCCCTCAGGAGCAGACACAAAGAGATGTGTCTGAATGCAAAGGAATTAAGTGACAAGAATTGAAGCTGTCAAGGATTTCCTTTTACTTGGATTCACAGCCCAAATGCACGGAAATAACAATCAAAGAAACAAAACTATATACTGCACTGGACAAATGTGCTGAAAAATACCTGTTTAATGTGTTCATAGGTAAGATGAGGACTAATGAGTGCTTGATCCGAGGCAATTTTCATTATCTCATATACATGTGAAAGCAGGACAATGAATAAGGAAGACTAAGGAAGAAGCAAGACTCTTGTCACCACAATCAGTGCTCTTGGCAACAGCAGTCAGGATATCAAAGGATGAATTACACTGGGAAAATCTGCAGTCAGGAACTTCTCCAGAGTACTTAGAAGCAATGATGTCAGTCTAGAGACAAAGGTGAGCCTGATCCAGGCCATGGTCTGTGCTATGCATCAGAGAGCTGGACAACGAGTAAGAATGACAGAAGAAGAATCGATGCCTTTGAGCTGTGGTGCTGGAGAAGAGTTTGAACATACTGTGGGCCACCAGGAGAGTAAACAGGTCTGTTCTGGAGAGGATAAAACCAAGTTGCTCCTTGGAGGCAAGGATTTTGAAGCTCTGCCTCACGTACTTAGACACATGGCTGGGACAGACCAGTGTGGTACCCTTGGAGGTGAGTGGAGCAGACTCCCTGAGGGCAGTTGGGCCGCAGAGTAGAGTCACCATAGCTGAGGTGCTGCTGTGTGACAGACATGACAAGGAGAAGGTATGTTTCTATGAGGAGCTGGCTGAGAGCTGTGTGCTGACCACCCAGCCCCGCAGGCCAAGCTACCAGGGAGAACATCCTCAAGCAAAGAGAGACAGAAGCTTGAGGTACTTGTATCTGGGAAGGCCTAAGGTCCACTGGGGGACCAGAGGGAATGCTGCAAACAGATACACCAGGGCAACATAAAGCTAGTGTCCAATGACCATAGGAAAAGCTGTGAACAGATACCCTAGGACAACATAAAGCTAGTGTCCAGTGACCAGTAGGATGGATGTGTGCCCTCAAGCCCAAGCTTTTCCACACTTTGAGAGTTCATTTTCCTCTTGTTGTTGTGTACCATCGTCAGAACCGACCCATAGCTGACCCTCTGGCAGGTTTCCAGAGGCAGTTAATCGCAGGGGAGAAGACTGTCCATCCTTCTCCAGCGGAGCAGCTGGTGGCCTCAAACCACGTGTCTTTGGGATTGCAGCGCAGCTTCTTGCCACTAGGCCACCACAATTTTGATCTCTTTGGTCTGAAAAGCAAGGGTTTTGCTAAGCTCCATCTTGGCTAACAAACCAAAATCAGAATGAACCCAAATTTGTAAAATGTAAATTTCCCAGAACAATAACCAGAAAGGCCAAGTGTCCCTGTCCAACAAGCACCTTAATCTCCCTTTGAGAAAAGAAGAGCAGCACGCACATTGCCCAGCAAGCAATCTCGTTCCTTACTTAGTCATAAACATACCGCCCTGCTCAAAGATGGCGGCTGTCAGCACCAGCTTGACTGTCATTCTCCAGCATCCTTCCTGTCATGTGGTCCCCCACCCCAGTCACCCTACAGGGAGCACCATTCCTCTCCCAAACATCCCATTCCAGGAGTTGGACTCTTAATTTACTCCATTCCCGCATTCTGGTTATCATTCAGTTGTTCCCACATTTCACCAATCCGGGTCTCTTCCTGTTTGACCACGTCACCATCTCAGCCACCAGTTTAACAATGTGCTGAGAACATGCGTGTAACCTCTACACGTGGACTCGATCCCTGTCGTTTCCACCACTGATCAATTAGAAGGAGAAAAGTCACCTTGTCTTCAGGACATTTCGTACCATTCCTAGAAACATACTCTTTCTTTCTGGAGTTAAGTTGGTGTGCTCCATTTCTGTCTAAGTCTCAAGTCTGAGATCTTCTTGGTGGAATATAAAATAGGTATTAAGTTGCATTTGGTGGTTGAGTTGACTTCTCCTTAGAAAGGAAGCTACCTGGACACAAGGCTTGGCTTGAATTTGTCTGCGGTCCCCGGCAGCACAGAGCGGAGAGCCTAAACTACCGGTAATAGGCAGAGGATGTTTGTGACTAAGTAAATAAGCAAATGAATGAATGAATGGACTCGTCAATTAATGAAAAGTGTGAGAATAGGACAGGAATTAGAGTCTCAGGGACTCAAGTTTAGCCCTGTGCTTGCAGTGAATATAAATTAAAATCACACGTGCCAACCTGGATGAGCCTCACCAACAGACTGTTGAGTGAAGAAGCCAGACATGCCAGAACATCGAGTGTCTGGTTCCATTTATGTAAAGTTCAAAAATAAGCAAGACTAGTTACAAAGGAGATGATGTTACAAGTAAGATTTCAGGTTAACTTTGGGGAAAGTAGTCATAGGAGGTGGAAGAAAGCATAACGGGGAAAAGTCTGAGGTCCAGGGATGCTGTTTCTTGACTTGGGCACGAGGTACATGGTTGTGTCGTGTTTGTGAAATTCACCGAACTGCCTACTTTCCTGCATATGTATTTTACAGTGATATATTCTTTTCTGAGCTCTGGTGGCCAAGTAGTAAGGAGCTGTGCTGCCATCCCGAAGGCTTGCAGGTCGAATCCACCAGGTACTTCAGAGGAGGAAGATGGACCATCTCCTCCAGTGCAATTTACTGCCTCTGAAAACCCCCAGAGGGTCTACTGTGAGTTGTAGTCTGTCTTGAGGGCACAAAACAACAACAATTCTATGTAAGGAAGCCTCATGGTAAAGTAGAGTAAATGACCGGCCGCTAACCAAAAGTTTGGTGGTTCAAATCTCTAAGCTGTTCTGCTCTGCAGCAGAACCGTAATGTAAGGCTGTGGACTTCCATGAATACTTACCGACTTGACAGTACCACGGGCTGATTCTACTCTATTCTGTATGGTTGCCAGTAGTCATAACAGAGTTGATGACAGTGAGGTTTTAGTTTCTAGATATATGTATCTTTTAATGAAACATTTTTGATGGACCAAACTAGATAAAACAAACAAAAAGCCCCACAGTTGTCCTTTGTTGTTGCTGTTTTCAGATACCATGGAGTCAGCCCTGACTCGTAGTGATCCTAGGAACATATATCGAATTCCTGACCTGCTCTGCTCAATCCTCACCATCCGTGATGTGGTTAAGCCCATTGTTGGAGTCACTATGGAAATCCATTTAATTGAGGCTTGTTCTCTCTCTTCTTTGTTCTTTCTTCCTCTTCCAACTTTCACAAGCATAAGAAGGGATTGAAAATACTGTGGCTTCCGAGAAGGCACAACTTAATCTTTAATTCTGAAAAGCAGTATTCCGGGTGTGGCCTGCCAAGACCGGGGCCGGTCAGCCAGTCAGCAATCTGGTTCCCAGAAATACATGCAGCAAGCACTTATAAGAGACACAGAAACCTGCCATGTCCATGCCTGATTCGTGAACTTGTCTGACTGGACAGTGTAGGTAACTCTGACTGTTGAGGAGCTTACTTGGGGAATCATCCTCTTGTGTGGTGTGCTAGGATCTTCATATTATTAATGGTCTGACATAGATTGTAAAGTACAAAGCCGGACCTTCAACATTGATTGTTTGAAAGGTGATGATTTAGAGCAAGTTGCATACAACTGAGGCTCAATTTCTTCATCAGTCAGATGAGAGTTACTTTCCTAATGCCTTCTCTTCTGGGAAGACAAATGAGACGATGTGTGAGAGAGCATCAGACAGCAAAGGCTCTCCAGTCATGCGGAGTCGGGGCCCAGGCTCTGCGTTGCGAATGAGCCTTCCACGTAGGTCTCTCTGCAGGATGCTGCACTCGGACACAGGTGTGCAGCCGGGCTGCTAATACAGAGCCATGAGTCATCGGGGGCTCCTGTGAGCTTGAAATGTGTCATTCCAAGTTGAAATGCGATCGACGTACTGAGTTGCGAAAGCTTAGTATGAATAAAATAACACAGATGGTGTCATTAAAATGATATATTCATTGTTTGTGAGAATGATAATATTTCAAATACGTTGGGTTCCAAAATAACACTGCAAAGAAGTCACTTTGCTCCTTGCTTACATTGGTTTGGTTTTGACTGGGGCTGGTGGACTGCTTGACATTGCACTTGGACTTCACGTTATGTTTCGGTTGGGTAGCATGGCTCCAGAGCGTCATTACTGGAGCGTTTGTGGGGCACAGGTGATCGGACGGTGGTCAGTAATGGGCAGTCCACAGGCCTTTTCTCTCCTTCACTCGTGGAGTTCCAGGTGTGCTCGATCCAACTTCCTGAGCGAGGTGTTTAACCCTCTTTCTGCTTGCTGCTTCCACAGATCAACTACAAGGCTGTTGGCTCTTTGGATCCAAGTGCCGACCTCTCCAGCCAGAGAGGAAAAGTGTTCAAGCTCCGTAATGAAACCCACCACCTCTTCGTGGGTCTGTACCCAGGGACCACCTACTCCTTCACCATCAAGGCTAGCACCGCCAAGGGCTTTGGGCCGCCTGTCACCACACGCATCGCCACCAAAATCTCAGGTATCTCTCTCAGCGAGGGAGGCTTTCATTTGGCTCTGTCTTCCCTTGCCAGACCTGTTTTTTCTGGGAGTAGAAAGGATCCACACCAGCCATCACTGCAGGGCATGCAGTCAGGGTGACACAGCTCCGACTGTGTTGCTGCTGTTGTACTCCACACGGGGGCGGGTGAGGGGGGAATCTCATCTGTGAACTTCTTAAAAATGTAGAAAAATATATTAATTGGGTGTGATTCACCAAGTGATTTGCCACAGGGATGCATTAAATAGCACATTCTTTTTGCATACAAATTGGTTTGTAAAAAAAAAGTAATTTATTTTTCAGACATATTTCTTTGGGCAGTGCAGATACAGCGCAAGTTGTCATGAAGTATTTGATTAGTGAATGAATGAGTAGGTAGACGGATGGATGAATGGCTGACTGCTGTAGAGACACTGTGGTCTATAATTACAACCTTCCTTCATCAGGCCCACCTTCACTGCTAGACATCATCAAAGCAGAATTAGCTGAGCACCTTTCTTACAATTTTCGTTTTCCAAGATACCCATGTAAGTCTGGTCCTCATGGGTATACATTTTGCATAGATACAAACTCGTGGTATTTTTGTTGCTTAACATTGCAATTGATCGCTTGTACTCCAAGCAGTTCCCATCTCGCTGCATTGCCTTTATCCTAATGTTCCCTCAAGCGGATGGGCAGTAATTTAATAAAACATATCCCTGTGGTTGGATAGATAGAGTGCATCCATGTTTCTTTTATAAAAATAGTTGCTTCAATAAACATGCTATAGAATAAAGTTCTGTTCATTAGTTTGGAATATAATTTTAGGATTAGATTTCAGAAATGGAAATACTGAGTCATGAGAGATGTGGATTTTAATAGTTCTTGAAACAAACGGCTAAATTACATTCCAAATGGATTGGATTTAGCTGAACACCTATCAGGTGGGTACAAGAGAGGGGGCCTTATGAAAGGAGAAAAAAAATAAGAGGGAACAGAGTCCTCATTGCTTTTAATTCACATTTGGACGTGCATTTAACAAATAGATTTCATCTCCTTCTTATCTTTGTTAAATGGTCACAATGCCTGCATGTTGCTGTTAGCCTGGTGTGGCTCTATTTGATGCATGCTGGTCACTGGCCCCATCCTTGCCACCCTTCCCGGACTATTCTGCACCACTAGGGACTACAGGCAGGTTGGGAGCCAGAGTCTTCCCTGCTGGAAGTTTGGGCAGTCGTGTGATTCCTATAGAGGCCCTTTCTCAGACCTCCTCCTTCAAGTCGTGCTTGGCACCTAGGAGCCTAGCATCAAGGAGAGGCACTGAGGGGGGTCATGTCTCTGCACTGAGCTCACCTCCTCTCTCTGTTGCCTCCTCAGCACCTTCAATGCCTGAGTACGACACTGACACTCCCCTGAACGAAACAGACACGACCATCACAGTAATGCTGAAGCCCGCTCAGTCCCGGGGAGCCCCGGTCAGGTGAGCATTTCTTGGCTTGGAATTTGCCATTCTTCTTCTTTGCATCACACTTGAATTGGGCTGTGTTGCTTGCAATAGCCACGGGTAAGACTGGTCAAGTGGAAGGCTTTCTATAGAAAGGGAGGCAGATACTCCAAGCCCAGTTCAGAGGGGGTCAGTGAGCTCAGAGCCTCCCACTCCATTACTGGAACTGGGTCCAAGAAAACAGGCTGATGGGAACCAAAGGAGGGCTAGGAGAGAACTTTCTAGAGTGTGCTCTATGGTAAATTTAACCACTGGGGCTGGGAGTTTGGAAACACTCTCCAGGCAAGATTATCCCTCCATGTCTTATTGCTATTAACAGGCAGATTGATGGGCTTGCTGGGTTTCGAAATAACAAACAAAACCCCAAAAAGTAAAACCCCACACAGTCTGTTCTAGATCAAGAACGAGGCATGATCTTAGGACTAGATTGGAATCTCAGCATCCCAGAGACCAACAGAGATTTTTCACTCAAGGCCACATTACTGGTTTTTAGTAAGATGCTTCTAGAATTTCAACTAAATTGTAAAGGACTTGTGCTGCCAACTCAAAGGCACATGGTTCGAATCCACCAGTTGTTGTGCAGGAAAAACATAGGCAATCTCCTCCCATGCAGTTTACCGCCTCTAAAAACCCACTGGAGGGTCAGCTGTGTGTATCAGTTCTGCATGATGGTACGTAACAACAGAAGCCTACTTGAGCCCAGGGAGACAAAACTTGTCCGCGACTAGGTTGACTCGGTGTACTGGGACTCATGGGTACTGGAGGGTGGACATCTCTTTTCAACAAGCTATAGTTTGCAAAAGATCAGCTGACGGTGTGTGCTGAGTGCTGGCTTCGCTCAGAGCTCTGGCAGGCAGGCAGACAGTCCCTTGAAATGAGGCAGAGTGTTGGGCTGAACAGTTGTCAAATTGGTTAGTTCAGTTCAGCAAGCACAACTTGAGTACCTCATGTGTCAGGCAAGGGACAGGACACAGGGAATAAAATTAGTCATTCAATCAGTCAGTCAGTTAACAATCATTTATTGAGCACCTAGTCTGTGTCAGCAACTATCCAAGTGTTTGGGATTTGGTAGTAAACGAATCATGAATAAATCATGGAGAAAGTTAAACTCTAGCGGGAGATACAGAAACATGGATGGATAACTTTATGGTGCATCCTTATCCTGAAATTGTTATTGTTCTTAGGTGCCGTCAAGTTGAGTATGACTCATAGCAACCCTAGAATAGACCTGAACCCTGTCCTGCGCCATCCTCATCACCCCTGACACACTTGAGCCCCTGTGCTGCAGTGACTGTGTGAATGCATCTCCTTGAGGGTGTGTCCTTATACACAGGTCATTATGATAGCTCAAAGGAACAAGTCCCAGGGGAGATGAACTTGACCTGTATCTCAAATGATGGATACAATTTCACCAAAAGGGTTAGAGGATCTAGCTCGAGCAGATAAAGAAAGGCTATATGCTGCCTGCTACAATGTAACAATCCTAAGTGGGTAAGGATGAGAAAGGGGGCCAGGAAGGGGAAGCTCAGGCTTGCTCAAAGAGTGATGGAGAGTCACCAAAGAGGCACATGCCCTCTCACTCTTCATGATAGGGGGACACGAGCCAGAAAAGATGCTACCATGATGTGTACCTCTGCATTTTCTGACCTGGCTCCAACTCTACCCAGAAATGACCAATAGTGGAGGCGACCCGATCAACCAGCTGTCACGTGCAAGTTCCCATCTATTCTGAAGACTTCGGGCAGGCTCCTCTCTAAGTCCTATGAATCGATAAGTCTGGCAACAAGTGTGCAGTTTGTAAGATACCAGATTATGCGGCTTTTACCTTATCTTCTATATATGTGTTGTTTAGAGCTCTCCTATCTGTGATGAGCCAAAACAGTCCCTAAATCAAATAAATCGTTCTTGAAATCTTGATTTTTCTTCCCCCCTCTCTTGTTACTCTCATGAGGTTACTAGGATTGAAACTGCCCCAGCGACACGCAGAGCTTAGTTTCAATACAGGTTGCCCACTCGCCCTGCCACGTGCTCCCTTCTGCCACTGATGGTTTTCCATCTTTCCCAGCTGCTTCAAAATCCCCAAAAACATCCCATGGCAAAATTGGGGCTCAGAGAAGGGAAGCAACTCACAGAAAGTTGCCTAGCAAGGTAGCTGCTAACCCAAGAGCACAGCCCACATCTCAGCCCAAACCTGTGACGTGTGCATCTGTCCCTGAAAGGACCTTATCAGGCCAGCATCAAACTGTGGTGAGTCCAGGTGGGCAAGACCCAGCTCAGCTCCTCTGTCGTGCCGGCTGGTGTGTGGGGCAATGGAAAGAATCTGAGTGTTAAGGCTGCAAATCCGGGTTCAAATCCTGCCCTAACACCACCACCTGGCCTTGAACAAGACGCTCACTCCTTGAGTCTTAGTTTTCCTTATCAGGAAAGTATGAATAGTAACTGTGTCACAACGGTTGAATAATATATGGATAAAATGGAGCAGGGTAGGCCTTCAGACTGTTTCCTAGGATAACTTTGCATCTTCCCTGTGCAACTTTGAAGATTCTGTTCCAAACTGGTTTTGAACATCCATGCATTCAAGATTCACAGGTTGCCTGCTTTCTTAGAATTAGAATTCCAAACTGCTGAGACCTTGATTCCACAGAGGGGAGGGGTGAGGAGAGCTTGGCTCCTAATTGGTGTGAATGGCTGTAACATCAACCCTGACTCAAGGTGACCATATGAACAGTGGAACAAAGAACCTTCCAGTCCTGTCCTTCCCGAGCTGCTGCAGGTCAGAGGACACTGTGGTTTGTCAGCATCTGATCTGTCACCAGGCCTTTCATCCTAGTCCATCTTAGTCTAAAAGACAGTGTTGTTGTTAGGTGCCATCCAGTCAACTCCAACGCATAGCGACCCTATGTACAACAGCTCTGAACCCTGCTGTATCCCGAGCCAATCTCACTGTCTCTGACACACTTATTCCCACTACCCCAGTCTCTGAGTCAATCCATCTCATCCAGGATCTTCCTCTGCCTTGCTATCCCTCTACCCTTCCTTACACCATGCCCAAAGTATGTCAGATGGAGCTTCAAAATCCTTGGTGCCAAGGAGCAGCCTGGTTTCTCTTTCTTCAGGAGGGACCTGTTTGTTCTCTTAGCAGTCCATGTTATATTCAGTACTCTTTTCTAGCACCACAACTTTTGAAAGGTATCCATTCTTCTTTGGCCATCCTTATTCATTCACTGTCCAGCTCTTTGATGCACAGCAAGTAATTGTGAAGACCATGGCCTGGACCAGGTGCACCAGAAACTTTTAACATCACAGCAACATCGAGCCTCTCCTGAAGAGAGTGGCTTTGCAGGACAAGCACTGTCTGGGCCTCCAGCTTGGAAAGCAAGAACTGCCCTGCCGAACCACCACTGCCCTCAGGACTCACTCCTTGAGAACCCCTGACACACTGCTCAGAAAAATGTGTTTTAATTGAACTGCAAAATAAGCACTCCAAGTTCTTCCCCCCCTGGCAGGACAAATTGAATTTCTGCGCACAGGACCAGGGAGCTACCCTCAGGGAAAATAAGATTATGCATTTGTGACCCCCTGAAGAACTCAATGGAAGCCAGCTGAACACAGACGGAAGTAATTATCGGGTTTTTTTGCTTCTTTTTTGTTTATTCTGCAACTACTATGTTCCAGGATTTTAATCCTGAACAAATACCCACTCACTGCTAGAAATGCGGGAAGTGAAGATCAAGGTCACAGCGCCAGCAAGTGATGGAGCAAGAAGGCACACCCAGCTTTGTCGCACTCCAGACACCAAGCTCCTCTGCCCCAGCAAAGGAGCTGAGCAGCCTGAATCAATGTGTCTGGGAAAGCTTGCCCTGTTTTCTAAGACACTGTCCTCCAGAGCCCACAGTTTCTTCATTTGCACATCTTTTTAGCAAACTCATGGAGCCTAAATTTTAAGTAGGAAGATGGGATGAGTACAGACCAGTAGCAGTGAGAAACCACAACCAGCTGAAAGCAAAGCAGCAGAGCCTTCTACATAACCCTGAAAGAATCAAGGAGGTTTACAGGCTATGGCTTCTCTCCGCCATGGGCTTCATGACTCGGTTCACAGAAAAATCATTGCCCTTAGGCCAATGTCTTCAAGTTACAAGAGCACACTCAGGCTTTCTGCCACAAGTTGGATGCAATTCAAAGCAGCCGCTGCATAGGAGGAGACTTCCCATCTTTCTCTGTTGGAGCCACTGGGGAATTTGAACTGGCAGAGACTTGAGGTCTTTGGATTAGAAGCACAGATTGCTAGAGACTATCCCCACATGGTTTAAAATTAGGGAAGGTGTGTGCCAGGGTTGTATCCATTCTCCATACCTATTTAGTCTGTATGCTCAGCCTATTACTTGAGAAGTTAGACTAGATGAAGACAAATGTGGCATCAGGATTGGTGAAAGACTCATCAACAACCTTTGTTATGCAGATGACACAACCTTGCTTGCTGAAAACGAGGAGGACTTGAAGCACTTGTTGCAGAAAGTTAAACACTGCAGCCTTCAATAGAGATTGCATCTCAACATCAAGAAAACAAAAGTCTTCATCAGTGGGCTGATAGACAACATCATGATAGAGAAGAAATTGTCAATGACTTCATCTTACTCGGATCCCCAATCAAGACACTTAGTACCAGCAGTCAGGAGCTCAGGAGGCATACTGCACTGAGAAAGTTTGAAACCAAGGACTTCTCCAAATTATTGAGGAGTAATAATGTCCATTTTAGGACAGAGGTGCAGGCCATCATCTTTTCAGTCACTTGCTATGCATCTGAGAGGTGGATTATGACTAAGGATGACAGAAGAATTGATGCCTATGAAATGTGTTGTTGGAGAACAGTGCTGAAGATCCCGTGGACTGCTAAAAGAGCAAACAGATAACGGAGAAGGTGCAGCCAGAGTGCTCCTTGGAGGCAACGCTGATGAAGCTTCATCTCATATACTTTG